ACAGGGTTTCCGAGGCTGTAAATCTTTACGGGAGCAGAAAGCCTCATCTTTCTCCCACGGAACAGCTGGTAGTTTCGAACTGCTGACCTTGCGGTTCCCAGGCCGATTCGTAACCACTATACTACCAGAGCTCCTAGCACTTTAAATTGCAAAAAGCATCATGTTAAGCCTTTCAAGAGTGAATTCTTTTCTGCTTTGAGGTTTGGGTTGATACCATGTGTTTTTAGTCCTGGCAGTCATGCTGAAATCAAGGGGAACATTTTTTTTAAGGTCACATGGATTTTGATGGAATTATGTGGGACACAGGCCCCAAATGGACTCTTTGTGGTATGATTGATTGGTAGTGTGAGGCCCAGTTCTCCAGGTTCACGAAGCCGTCCATGCCCCCTCTAGGAAGCAGCAGGTACTACAAATGGTATAGCAGCTTCTCAAGAAATCTGAGAAGCTAAAATTAATTGGTGGGTCCTGGTGTGGTGCTGTGGGTTAATGCGTCACACTGCAAAGCCATTTGAACTGCAAGGTTGATGGTTCAAGCTCACCAGCTGCTCCTCGGAAACCCTATACAGGGTCACTGTGGGTCAGAATTGATTTGACAGCACTTAACAGCAACATGTGTCCCAGGAGTCATGGAAAGGTTAAAGAAACCTGCTTAACTTTAAGAATTTCTAGGATAAATAAAGTCATTTGGTTGCAAAGCCATAAATTCAGTGCCTTTGGTGGGGCTCCAGCATTTTGTGTGCATTTTTGTCACTTTTGTGATATTTTGTCTCCTTCATTGGTTTTAGGAAGGGCTTAGGCAGCTGCTGGAGAGCAGTGTGGCTTCATATGATAAGCCCTGGACTGTGAGACACACGATCCACAGTTCGAGCCTGCCAGCCACTCAGTGAGAGAAAGGTAAGGTTTTCTGCTCCTGCAAAGATTCAAAACCTCGGAAACCTCATACAGGGACACTATGAGTCAGAACCAACTCGATGGCACTAAACAACTGCTGGCATTGGATGACTTTATTGTGCTGTGTCACAGTTTGAACAATGGGATAGCCCTGATCTCATGATGTCACTACTGTATGTGACCATGTATCTAATCTGTGCATGTATTGAGCCAAGGCTTGATTAAGAAGTTTTAACCATTGTTTTTCAAAATACTTGCAATTCTTTCAAAGCAAAAGAAATACCAGCTCTCAACCCCAGTTTTGATTCTGGAATGAAAACCTCTGACTTCCATACTAATGTATTTAATCATCGAAGGTGTACTCTTTCCCCATAGTGATTGAAAATGCTGCCAGCCATAGTACACACAACAGGGTAGGGCTCGAATTCTGGGTAGTTCCTGACCTCCAAATGAGATAAGAAGAAAAAAAAAAGTCCCAAGCTAAAAGAAACAACATTTGGAAGTGACTCTTTCATGGACCATGTCATACCTATCCCTTTTCAGCTCTAAACATTGTGCTGCTTTTAAGGGTTGGTTTGAATTTGTCACATAGAAAACAGTAATCTACATGAAACTGAACGATGTTCAATTTCTGAACGTTCAAAAAATGTTCAATCCTCAGGTGTGTAACAACGGAAATACTGCAGGAAGTCTTTAAAGAACAGAGACTATGGATGGTTTGCAGGCGTAAAGTTCTAAACTGAAGAGCGACCAGTTTTTCCTTTTTGTTTAGTTTTTCTTTCTGTTTGCATGTGTTATGTATCTGCACACATATGTGGTGTTTATATGAGAGAAAAAGCATATCTACATAGGAAGGAGCTTTAAAAAGTTCATGGAAAAATTCCATTATTTTTTGTGGTTTTTTTAAGTTTTTGTTGTGAATTGAGTGATCATTTACATAGGAGAACATTGGTTTTGCACTCACCTATCATAGTTTGTTTCATTGTAATGATTACAATCCCCTGCATGCATCATCATTCAACAGTATTTGCTTCTATTCTCTCTGTTTTTTTTTTTGTTTTTGACTTACACAAAACACTCAGGAATATATAATCATTTTAACAACACAAGGGCACATTCTGTAAGCCAGCCTCCTGGCCACCAGCACACAGCCTTTCTCTTTCCATGAGTCTAAAGTCCTCAGTTGCTCTATCTTTCCATGCCATCATGTCTGCATCCATCTCTGGTGTCGCTGCTTCTCTGTTTATAATCCCACGTTCCACTCATGCTCTTCTCTCTTGATGGTCTTAGGGTCCTCTGTTCCTGGAATATTAAATTAACCACTCCCCCCTTTATGTTACAGAACTTCTCCCTTTACCGTTGTGCCAATTGCAGTTAGTCATGATAACAATTACTCACTATTGAATCCAAAACTTTTATCCCTATCTCCTTTCACCAGACCCATCTAGACAAGATGAAAATTATTCAGTGGAGATTCTACCTTCCCCTGCATACTCTGAAACTAAACTCCCTCTTGAAAACTGATAAGCCAGCCACTTCGTGCCTTTTTAGCACCCTCACCACCATTTTAGGTAGCCAATGCCTAATTTGCCCATCCCTATCAGCCCTGATAAGACCTTTTTAAAGTCTCGAAGAGCAGAGATGTCAGCTGGAGGACTAAGGTGTGCCTGACCCAGACAATGGTATTTTCAATAACCTCATATGCATGCAAAAGCTGAACAGTGAATAAGGAAGAACGTAGAAGAATTGATGCTTTTGAGTTATGGTGTTGGAGGAGAATATTGAAAGTGCCATGGGCTGCCCATAGAACCAACAGATCTGTGTTGAAAGAAGTGTAGCCAAAGTGCTCCTTGGAGGCCAGGATGGCCAAACTTCGTCTCTCATACTTCGGACATATTGTCAGGAGGGACCAGTTGCTGGAGAAGAATATCATGTTTGGTAGGGTGGAAGGTCAGAGAAAAAGAGGAGGACCCCCAATGAGATAGATTGGCCAAGTGGCAGCATTAATGGGCTCAAGCATGGCAATGATAGTGAGGTTGGCCCAGGATCCGGCAGTGGTTCGTTCCACTGTGCATAAGGTCGCTATGAGTCCATACCGACTCAATGGCACTTAACAACAACAACAATCAACCCTGAGGGGATAGGCTTGATCCTTGATGTGAAGACTACTTTCCTCTAGGTTGGTATTATTG